CTTTATATTTCGGAATTCTGAAATGTAGACTGATGTGTAATTTGAAAATATCTTTGTACACTTGATGTGAGACATACGACACAATTCGCAACATAACACACATACAAAGCAATCCTTTTGTTCTACAAATCCATGTTCATTCATCCAAAAGTCTTGAAAAAAGCGATCATCAAGTTTTCGTTTCTTAAATGGCCATTTGAATAAACATATACAGGGGTTGGACAAAAATATACAAACACCTTTAAAAAAACATGTTTCTTTGCTTAATATGGTGTAGGAAACCCGTTGGCCTCCAAAACAGCTTGCGTCTCTCGGATGGATAATACAATCCTGTATGTTTGCCAGGGATATTTCATCTTCTGCAAAACGGTGGCAAGTTCAGATACGATGTTGGCGGTGATACGAACGCACTTTCTTTCAATGTAGACACAAGTTCGATATAGCAGGTCTGTGACTGGGTGCCAAGGAGATGGACACTCATCCTCGCTCAGAAAACCATCCTGGACTTGAGCTGTGTGAACAGGGGCTTTGTCGTCTTGGAAACACCATCACCATCGGGATAAGTTGTACCATGGATGAACTTGATCAGCCAAAATGTTCACATAAGTCTTGGCATCATGTGCCCTGACACAGTTATCATGGGGCTAGCAGAGACCACGATATGGCTGCCCAAACCCTACGAACCCCCCATTTTCATTCTTGCACAAGGCAGTCTGACTATAGGCTTGAGATGGCGTTCTCCAGACTAAACTCGCAGAATGGGAAACATGTGAAGAAGACTCGTCAGACCATATTACTCGCTTCCACGCTCTATAGTCAGCTTTCTGATTAACACCACCTTTTCGTTCGGGCATAGACACTGATGATGGCTTTCATTGCATCACGGCACAATTCCCTGTTTATGAACTCCCTTCAATTGTTTTGTATCACGGGTTTGGTCACAACATTCATTTCAGCCGTACTTTGCAGCTGAGGTCTCTAGTTTCGTCACATACCCTTATGATCGTCTGTCACGTCACGCAGACACACTTCGCAGCACTATGATTAGCAGATGATGTTTTTTTCCGCTTTTCAATATGCGGAATAAATCTTTCGATACAGTCCCCTCTTGAAACAACTAAACACCTCGGCGACCTTTGCTTACGGAAGCACCTTACCATACGTTGCTCCCACCTTGGCCACGTTCTGGAAGTCTGTAACTCTGGTCCATAATGCAATGACAACGGATACCTAAGTCTCCGACAACAACTGAACTGTGTCACATCTCGAGTTGTACAGTGGCTTCAGTAGTCAACGCCAGCGCCACCTACATATTTCATTAAAATCAATCTTTCTTTTCAAACATGCATTTCACAAGGTGTTTCCATATTTTTGTCCATCCACTGTATGTATGAACTGTCACAATAATTAAGCAAATGAAATACAAGTTTTCACAATAAAACCAAGACCGTGCCGTAAAATTAAAAATAATCTGTAGCGCATGACGCCCTATATTCACACTAAATTCTATTTTCGATTGAAATCATACCAGATTCTCGTGGATCGGTGCGGCGAAACGAACGAAATCTCTCCTTTCGTTGTGTGAGGCTTGAGGTGGAACGGCGCAGAGAGGAGACAGGACGATGTATTTTTATTTGATAATTTTGTAGAGTGGTGTAGAGTGCAACTGTACCGCGTGTCAACCATAGGTTGTTGACGCCTGGTCTAGAAAAATGATATTTGGCGGAGTCATTATATTTTCGATTAAGCCGGGAAAAGGATGTGTAATTCAAATTTTTTGGCCTAGTCCACATGAAGATCGATTAAAGAATTTAGTTATTAAAATTTAAGTTGTAGAGACATTAGGTTATTTCGATGCTGAGAGAAGTGAAAAATGAGCAATACCCTCGCCGGGACTCTAACCACGAACCTCTCGATTATGCGCGGAGTGTGTTGACCACTATACCACAAAGGCTTACTAAGAAGGCGGAAGAAATACATTCTATACTCCCACTTTTAAAGGGCGACTAGGGATTAGGGGACCCAATCACCAAATTCTGGTGGTGGAGAATCATCATTCACCACCTTTTTTTTAGTTCGGGCGCCACTGCAGAGTAATTCTACTATTTGTTAACATCTTTGCATTTTTTGTTTAGTTCTTGTGATTTGAGTTACCTCCCAAGTGAGGCGTAGTTTGTTAGCGTCAAGTCGACGCATTATGAATTTTAAAGAGTTTTAATAAAGAATTCTTTTAACCCTTCTCCTGTTTGGTTCCTGCACGTACTTTAGCTGCTATACAGGTTTTGAGTCTGGTTCTGACCGCTGTGATGGTAGGACGTCTTTTTTGACGCGCTGTTCGTACCTTGCTGTATTAGTGTGTTATACTCTGATGTGTTTAATTCGAAGTGCTTCTCTTACGGATGTGCTATTCGGGTGATTTTTGTGTGATTCTCTGATCAGTGATTTGATGTTACGACGGATTGCGTCTTTACTGCTTAGTGTGTACTATTAGTTTCGCTGATTGAGAGCCACGTGGAGTTGGCGGGGAAAGACAACTCACCGCTCGCTAAGATGGATACTGCTGATCTTGGAGGATATTATTAGGTTTGGAAACAACGTGTTAGTAAGCAACTGGAGTGAATTGTTGAATGCGGACACGTTATCGTTGGATAATTTTATGAGTGTACTACATTCGATTGAAACCCTAAAAGCTTGCATATGTTCGATGGAATTGGACTTTGAGGACGGTTATTCTATTGCTAGAACTGAACAGGACCAATTTGAAATTATTCAAAGGTAAGTGTGAGACTTACGGTGCTATTAATCCTAAGTATGCTAATATGTCCCTTGCTAGTGATGATGTGTGTATTGTTGAAAATGTTTCTCGTGTTAATGAAAATATTCCTAAGGTTAATGTTGATGTTGTTAATGCTAAATCTGAAAATGCTGCAAATAATGTTGTTCCTAAGCCCAAAAGGTCTTCAAAAAGAAATAGTCCAGTTCAGAAAGTTACGGATGCTGAGGGCTTCATTCAGCCAAAAAACACGGCCCAGGCCCTTCAAAGCTAGTGAAAATGTAATGTAGACATATTAATATAAGTTTAAGGGTTTGAATGACAACGAAAACATGGATGTGCAGGGTGAGCAGGAGGTTATGAATTCTGCCCCTAAGTTAAGCGATAATGATAACCAACATTAATTCTCGGATTTTGTAAAGCAACTCAAAACTGATACCAAGCTTGAAATTGTAGCAAAAGTAAATGGAGAATTTCTTAAAATTTTTCCTAAATCTGAATCTGATCATAGGGATATTACGCATTACCTTGATGAAAATAAGATTGATTACTACTTAATTGTTGGTAAAACGGAAAAGCCTGTTAAAGTAGTGTTCAGAGATCTCCCTATCGACTGTCCGAAGGTCAAAATCCATGAGGAGCTTGAGGCTTTAGGATACAAAGTCAGAAAGGTGTCTCAGATGCACCGCTTAAAGTCTAAGGTGTTGCAGTGTCATGTTGGAAGTGTTGCAGTGTCACAACTGCCAACACTTCCAACGTTCCGCTGAGAACTGCAAACTCAAACTACGCTACGTTAAATGCGCGGGGCCTCATAGGACTGAGAATTCTAAAGCTAAAAAATTGAAAATGTGTTATGCTGCAACTGTAAACAGACAGGTCACACCGCGAATTATCGTGGGTGTTTTTAAGTTTCCTAAACCTCATAGAAATACTTCTGATAATGCTAAAAGTGTTACTGATTCTGTTAGTTCAAATGCTACGAATGAAAATGTTAGTGCAGAACTTGTCACCCCAGGAGTTAGCTATGCTAGCGCAGTTAAACGTGGTTTCTCTGTCCCTACTGACAAGATGGATAACGATAAAGGTGTGAATAAGGCTAAAAGTGTGAAGGATGGAGCTGAAGACTCTGGTCCCGCTGCTGTTATGGACATACTCATAAAAGAGTTAGTTGATATATTCAAGGCCAGAGTGCGTGCAGCTGAATATACTATTGATAAAATGTTTATATTATTCGATATCTTTGAAAATATATTTGGCACTAAATGTACTGACAATGAATAGTGTTGTAAATAATCTTATTTTGTTCATCCTAGTTTAAAATATAGATTAATTCTTGTACTTCTTTCCCTATGCATCTATATGTATTGTATTCATTTGTCTTTTCTGTAAATATTAGCACCGTGAGACTCACACTTCCTTATGCCTAGTTTGTTTTTCCAAGTGTATTTTCTTCATCTGATCTATGTTGACTGCAGTTATTGTTTTTTTGCGTCATTCGCAACAGCTTATACGTTCTACAAAGGGGTAGGGTTCACGATAACCCAGGCACCCTGGTGCTACACCGTTCCACTGGAGCTGTTATACAAAATGCTATACAAGTAGATACTACAAAGTAAAGTTCGATTAAAATATAATCTGATACATTGTATAACAATATACAACAGTCAAAGTATGAACAATTGAAATTTCACATTAAAATAAAATTTTTTCAGAGATGCAGATATTAAAAAAAATCTTTTATAGCCCATCTCTGGAAACAATTACTCTTATTGCTGTATTATTCATAAAATAGTTACTTAATGAGTAATAATAATTATTTTTTTAATCTGCATTATGCTTCAGAATAGAGCTATTTTAGCAATAATTAAAACACTAGTTATCAAATTATTATAAATATCTTATGACATAATTTATTTTTCTTCAGTGAAAGCTCTGAGTACCTCCTTCTTCATCTTACGCGAGACAATGCACTTGCGCAACACAAAGTATTCTTTTAGACAAGAAAGACTTATTTCTGTTTCCTACTAAATATATCGAACACACTTCATATAGAATTTAAATGCAAAGTGTACTATATTTTATCTTTCATAAAATTACTAACGCATCTCTTGCATATATTAATTACCAAGTGTTTCTTGATTGTGAAAGTATTTAAACGGGTTTTTATAAGCGCTTTGTTTATCGATAGAGTTTAAAAATGTGCTTCTTAAAAATAAAATACAGAAGCACGACAGTTAAAATTATTTTTAATAAAAAATTATATCAGTATAAATATATTAAATGCAAAAGATAGCATTCTATAAGTAAATAACACAGGAATATACACTTCAAAATTTTATGATTGGTCACAGCAAGGCAAAATATGTCTGAAGAGACTGATTTTTAGCACATTTTAATCTTCTCTGTAGGGTAGCCGTTTCATAATAAGGTGTGATATAGCAAATGATAGGGTGCAAATTAAACTAATGATAGAAGCTGAGAAAAATGTAGTGCTTCCTCCTAATTTGTCGAAACCAATGCCACCTAAAAGATTGCCTGATGCAATGCCTGAAAAAAAAAAGATTAATATATGAAAACTATTAAAAAATTACAAGGATTACTAATAAATATGCCCTACTTTGTTTAGATGTTTTTACATTTAAATGTCAGTGAAACAAAGCATAATTTTGTTAAAAGTTATGCTGGTCACGTATAATGAATCAACATTCAAGCTCAATAACACCACAGTTTCATTTTAAGAAAGCAAAATCTTTAGAACAATTCATTTTAGTGCAGAAGGCAATTAGAAATTGACCGTTTCTTTCCTTCATATTACACCTAACTGTACTGAAATGGAGTGATTATTGAGGTCTGCTACGGATTTGTTTTCATCTGATGACCGCGCTGTAATTACAGCAAGATTTTCGTGCTTTTTTCGAAATGCAATGCTACTATATGAGTCTGGATCTCCAAGGAGGCTTCCATTTCAAAACAAGATCTACCGTGCTTTCTTATATGTACAGATATCTTTCATAGTAACTGCCGATCATGAATCCATTCTGAGGATACTCATATTTGTCCACCAATTTCATTTCATCCATATAATTTTATATACTTTCAATTGAAAATTAAAATATGTTGTAAAATATTTGTGTATTATTATGCATATCACATTTACTTTATTCAATTCCATTTAACATTTTTTCTTGCAAGTCCGTCCAAAATTGAAGGACTCTTATAATTTTGTTTCGCATTGTAAATTACTTGTACTTGTCCTTCTTTCATTTAAATTAATTTCCTCTGTAAATGATAATGCGAACTATTGAATAAAATCAATTATTTAATTTCGTAGTTAGAAAACTTTCAAGCAATCACTAGGAAAAAAAGATATTCCCTAGTACAAATAATTTAGTTCCTGCATTCTGTTAGTTAAAATCATTCTATAATATAGGCAGAGTAAATTGGTGTTTCTTCGTGATTGGAGCAAAACGTGTTTTAATAAATCATTGCAAATTCTTTAAAGCAACGTTATATTTAATCAGTTATCAGTGAAAGAAAGGTCTGCGTGTACTTTTCGCATGGTTTAAATGGAAGACTAAAAATTATATAAACATATACACTTATCCATATTTTTTTAGACAAAATAGATAAAATAAAATGTGTTTAAATGTTCAGTGTTGCTTATTGTTTTAGTACTGAGATAAATTACGTAGATCTTCGCCAGTCTGCGATTTTTATTTACATGCTAAACTTCTTATTATAATTTACACTGGTTCTATCTGTTTTTAGAAAATATATTAGAGAATTTAGATACTAAAAAATCATGAAGTATGAGTAATATTGTTATTTTTTACATAACTGGTATTTAGGTAAAATTATCTGAATTAATATTTTAACTTTTATGCCGTTACCTCATAGTTCATAGATTAATTTTTAAAAGAAAATCTCTCTCCAAAAATAGCTGAAAATAACACTGCGAAATTAAGATAAATTCAAAATGAAACTTAAAAATAATTATATAGAATAAATAGTAAAAGCTTACCAAGACCTTCATATATTCCTCCTAAGATTCCAAGCATAGTAGCTTCAGTTCCAGACGGAGCATTATCAGAAGCGTATCCCGTCATTGATGCATAGAAAAGTGCAAATGTAAAACCGTGTAAGAGCTCTACAGGTAGAACAAACCATGGATTTTTGAGAGCACTATATAGACCAAACCTCAAGGTAAACGCCAAGAAAGTAATCGAAAGGCAATAAAAGTGACCAAGCTTCTTGATGAACCAGCCAGCGAAGAAGAAAAAAGGAACTTCTGCAACTAAACATTGAACTGCAACTGCTAAACCTAGAAGAGTCTGATGGGCTCCCAGGTCTTCCAGGTACCAGAATTCATAACTCCATATGAGGCCAGATAAAGCGCCAGCGATGAACACACCAATGGCAAAAACAACTGTTTTCAAAGATGCGAAGATCTGGCCAACGTCTTTGCATATATTCATTGAAACGCTACTTTTAGCTACATGTATATTCATCAGTATAATCAGGTCTACAGAAACAAGAACTAACATGATATAGAACCCAGGAGAATAATCGGAATGATTCGAATGAGCAGTGGCTAAATCATTTAGGTACCCAGAAAGAAGAGTGACGGAACCCCAACTAACAGTAGCCCATAATCTTTGCCTTCCAAAAATATTTGTGTCTTCACCTAGAACTTCGCAGCAGGCTGCATCACTCAAAGTCCAGACAGTCGCGCTACCCGTACCAGAAATAATAGCCAAGAGCATGTAAACCCAAAACTGGTAAGTTCTGTAAACTGATGATTCGGCATTTTCAATTAATAAACATGATCTCATTTTGGTGGAGCAGTTTATAGAAACGTTCTTGTTTGAAATACATTCACAAGAGAGATCTGAGCTATTATTTATCCAGAACTGTATCTGAATCATTGTGTCATTTATATATTTTAATGGTTGGCTGAAGTCTAGAGCACCACTTAATGTTTTGACCGAAGCATCAGGTTCATCACAGCCATAATATTTAATAATACAGCTGACATTCGTTTGTAATCCAGTCAAACACGAGCCTTCATAATCCGATGTTATAATAAATAGCTTGTCTTCGGGACTTGGACAATAAGTTTGTACGTTTTGTTCATCCCCTGAGAGGATATTTATTGCTGGAATACTTAAAACGCTCATAAAAGCTCCTACTGTTATGACAATGAGGATAATGAGAATAATCTTTAGATTTTGGAAGTAATCAGCAAGATAACCATAGAGAGGTTTCGCAAAAAAGACACAGAACGGTATTATTGTATAAATGATTCCAACGCCGGTCGCACTAATGCCAAGAGCTTTTGCCACCACTTGCATAAATGGAACAGTACCACCCATTCCTATAAGAAATACAATTATATTTAATAATAAAATATTGTTAATTTTCTCATAATAAATGCTAACCTTTACACTTGAAGTTTCTTCATTTATTAGATATTTTATAAGGTTTTGAGTTTGGAATAGATGGAAAAGTCACACAACGCCTCAAAATGTATGTTGCAGAACTTACTTTCCTGAGAGTTAAATTCATTTAAATTATACAAGAAGACGCCGTAAGTTGCGATTTACTTATCTGTCAAGTGTAAAGAAAGGTAAAGGAGATTTTGTTAGAGGTTTGATGCTCAATCGTTATCATTACAACTACAAACAGTTCCATTCATGATCCGCAAGTTTGTAAATAACCTTCGGCAACAAAAATAAAACGAATCTTTGCACATATAGCACAAAAGCACAGTTATTTTACAAAGTAGTGTCATCTAATTTTTAATTTCGGAAAATTATCTATTGGAGATTAACAGTTACAGAAAATTCTTTGAATTTTCCTAAGCACAAATGCTCATATCTTGGCATACATTTAAGATATTTTTTTAAATATTCCTTCTTTAGTTTACATTTATGCCAACTTCTGCTCATTTTGTTCACTTGTATGTAAGCAAAGGATAAGAAACAAGTTTGAAAAAAACTTCGAGCATGATTTATTAATTACAAGCGAGCTTAAGCGTGGCCTTAGCACAGAGCATTATTTTCATCTCTTGTTACTAAAGTATGTATTGTGAACTCTAGATGGTGATCAGATATAACAGAACTGTTTTCATATTTAGTATTTTTGATGCTTTAGAGAAACTCGTATCGTCAAGAAAAACGTGTAATAGTCTCCAACATTTAATCGTGCTATTACAGAATTAATGTATCTAAATAGAGTTCATGTAATAGTAGAGAAGTTCATAAGATTCAAAAGCAAGTAAGAAGTACTTGTAAATTTATTTCATCTGAATTATCGTTCTGAACTCTGTTTTAGTGACGTTAATTGTCTTTATTTTAATTCCGTAGAACTTGAGCGAATTTGTGTGTTTATTAATGGAAAAAGATTTTTTTTAAATTTGAGTTAATGCCTATATATGTAGCAATAGCTGTTAAGAGGCACGCAAAGACTTGGCAGATAACATAAGAAAGCAGTTCCACTGTTATATGTTAGCATATTTGTGCTATTAGTTTCTTAACATTGTCTCTGATACAAACTCTCTATCTTTAAAATCAAAATTATATATGAAACGTTTTATTATGAAATACAGATATTCTTCAAACCACAAGACATATATATTTCTATTATTTATACATTTCTTAATTATATTGAGATCACATTACCACTTTAGTTATTTTTATTTCCTTTCATTTCTCATTTTCGTGCATTTTATTGGTTCCTCTTCAGGCATTGCATCAAGGAAAAGTCTCCTAAAATTTTGTAGCGTTCATTATGCTTGTTTCTATCTCTTCCTTCAGGAATTTCCCATTTCCGCTATTTACATTTTCAAATTTCGGACATCAACTGATTTCACACGTTTTTCCGGCTCTGAAAATTCTAATAATTCTACAATGAAGCCCGAACTAAAATTTGGTGGAGGAATGATTCGTTATCATGCGAATTTGATCGACAGGGTCTCCTATCTGTTCTTCGTTCCCTTTTAAATGGGCAAAATGTAAGGAATTAACGTATTCCTCATATAATATAAGAGGTTATACATCCAGCTAACACTAAAGAAACTTTGGCTCCAATCCTGCCGAGGGCAAATTTCATATTTAATATTTCTCGCAAAGAAACTGATTGTTTTTACTCTAAAATTAATGAAGATCTAGTGGACTTAAATTTGAAACACAAAATTTTATGCCATATCGAAAGGCAACACCACTGACAATACGATTTGGAAATACTGACAGGCCATGATTAGGAACTAAAAATCGTATGCCTCATGGAATTGACTAGGACGCACAGATCATAACATTCCATGCAATACGGTGCATGAGACATGTAAAGGATAACATCTGAACCTGATGTACAAACCTGATCATGATAACGCAAAGGAAAAGTTCTGGAGATAAAGAGGTATTAGTATGCTGTCTTGCTGTAATGCAAGAGAAAAAATGTTAGAGATTTGTTGTAATGCAAGAGAAAAAAATCTGATGTGTACACCACATGACTTCCTTGTACGGAATATTAAATTATACGCATTTTTTTTTTTGCATTCATTTAACATTGGATTGAATAAATCTACTTCCCGACAGCGCATAAACCACAATAGAATAATGCATTCTTTAAAATTCACTCTAGTATTTGTTTACCATAGCGACACTCTGGCGCTAGATTCACTTAACAGTATTATATTTCGTTCATATAACTCATAATGCACAAAATTTATATCATTTAAAGAATAGAATTATCTAATTGTTGCCACAAGTTCTATTCAAATACTATAATAAAGCTGGAATGATGTATAAAAGAAATTAAGCAAACAAAACAAAAAAGAAACAGTTTTTCACAGACGATTGAGTATTTCTCATTCAATTAAATCAGTTCTCACTTCGCGAGAAGGTAAAATACATAAAAACTCAAAATATCTATATTAAAAATACGAAGTAAATCTTAACACTTATTCCTCCGAAAAATTCAGAAAGGATTAAGCATGATTTAATTGGAATAATAAATGAAAGCGTTATCTTTGTTGTTGCGAAGCTAAGTTCTCTAGATTGGCAACAAATCCACTAGTCTGCTGTTTCAAATATGAACAATCAATGGCCGCCATAAAAAAAGGCTTAGCGGCACTTAAACAACTTTAAAATTGTTGATAATTCTAAAAATATTGCATACAGATTTACTAAAGGCATAAAAACCTTAACCGTAAGATAAAATAACATAATTCAATCATTTTTAAAGCAAAAAATGTACAATTTACAAACATAAAAGAGTAAAGAAACTGAGATCACTGAGCCGGGTAACAGAGTGGATATTATATATATAATATATTATATACGTTGGTGCGTCGATTGCAACCAAATACGAGGTGCACATCTACATGTTATAGTAGTCTTATATACAAAATTTCAACGTTCTGAGCTACTCGTTTTGAGTTATGCGAGATACGTACGTACACGTACGTACATACGTTCGTACAGACGCCACGAAAAATTCTCTCAGAATTAATTTTAAAGCAGTTTTAAATTTTTTGAAGGAAAAGAGTATTTTATTCTGTCCTTACGTACAGATATCACGCAAAAACATCGTTAAATTGCATTCGATAGCGTTCAAAATGGATATTTTCGTTGAAATATGCTGCGCGAAACTTTTTGCGATTACAATACCTCCTTTTTACTTCGTACAAGGAAGTAAAAAGAGTTATAGAAACACTAAAAAAATGTTATGAGACCTAGATACTTTAGGTTCTGTGAACCAAAAGTAAGCAGCAGAATACCGGGGAAGAAAGAAAGCAAAGATGAAAATGGAAAGTTAGGATGAGCTAGGGTGAGGCATTAGAATATGCAGACAAATTGTTATGCTATATCTGCCAATAAAAGAAATTTGCCTTTTGAGACATCACACTTTTGAAATAAGTGTGATGCCTATAGAAAACAGTGAATTAAAAGAAGCCAGTATAGTTCGCAATGAAATATAACAAACATTTCTTTTCATATGAAAAATTAAAAATAATATTTAATTCGCAATCGTTTGCTCGTAGTCACATACTTCCAATTACAGAAGTGTTATAAATGACAAAAATATTAATGTTTTGGCAATGTAAAGTTTAAAAAAATAATTCGACAAATAATAAAATCTAACTTTTAAAGCAGTCTCTCTGTTCTTATAATTATACTAGAAAGCCCGGCGGTCATACGAAATGACCGCTGTTCTGCAAAGGTGTCTGCTAATTCAAACTGAATTACTCAGGGTAGGCGGCGAGGACGGCCCTTTGCTTACTGCCCCACAGGGTTTCCCCCTTCTACTTGCTTAATTGCTTAGAGTACAATGAAGAAAACCACTGACGGTACATTTCTTAAGAGCCACCGCTAGCTCAATAAATAAAGTTGATTTAAATAATAAACTGTTAATTCACAAGATCTCTTTGTACACAACATTTCTTGTGTACATCTTTCCATCATTTTTAAGCTCGTCTTGCAGAGGACCATACATTATTTTTAATTTTATGTCCGTTCTTTCACGAACTCTTGAATAGGCAAAATAAAGTTGACCGTGTCTAAATGCAGGCTGAGGTAAAAAAATGCCAACACGCTTAAGCGTTTGACTCTGAGACTTATTGATGGTCATAGCAAAGACATGTTTTACAGGAAATTGTCTACGTCTCAATTGAAACGGCAATCCTGTGCAGTGGCAAATTAACCCCATTGGCTAGTACAGTTACACAAGCAACCAATAAACTATCGGCGACAAACAGACACTTAAGCCGCATATATATATATACATATGGGGTGAAGTAACATCATCTCCTCCGAAACGGCTGGCTCCCGTGCTTAGCGAAGCACACCGTTGGATTCCGCAGTTCCGTAGCACGCCAATTTGACCATTCTTGTGAGTTTAATTAGCCGATATATTAATTAAAAACTAATTTTCCCCTCCGTTTCCTTCTTTTCCACTTTCTTCTTGGGTTTTCCCTAGTAGAGGATTTGGCTAGCCAAATTCCTTTTTTACGAATATCTACGGAACGGCGCCGAGTTGAAATTCGAGACGCGTATCCTCGGATTCCCAAAGTTCTCCGAATCCATCGATACCGTTTTCATCTTCGTACGACTTTAATCGGCCGAGATATTAATTAAAAACTGCGGAAACGTTAATTTCCGAGCTCATTTTTTCGAGTGGCAACAATTAACTATCGGCGACACACACTTTAGCCGCTTATATATATAAAGTTTTGGGGAAGTTTTATGCTCGTTACGAAAAAAACAAAAATAACAAGAAATTTGCAAAAATTGACCAGAATATTTAATTTTAAAAATTGCAATTTTTGATGTCATCTTCAATTTGTCTTGCGTGATTGGTTAATTAAGTTAGAATAATTCGAGGAAATAAATTTAAATGAAAAGAAATCAGAAAATGTGCATAATTAAATGAGCTATATAAGGAAGTCACGTGGTATCCACATCAGATTTTTAAAATGTGTGATACCAAATTTGAGTTATTTGCGTTTCCCAGTTTATTGTGCTATTAGAGCATTAACTAGAGAGGATATTTCGCCATTCACAGTATCATCTTTGGTCGCATTTGCTTCGAATTTCTGTGATGAAATAAATTAAATCCGCAATATTTACAGTTCTGAAAGTAAATTTTTTTTTGTATATAAATTACAAATTCGGAAAATTAGTGTTATGAAAATAAAACATAAATACATACCGCCATAGAAGAAAAAATAATGAGCCTTCATAGGTAGTAGCCTTTTGTTGAGAATGTACCATGGTTTCTTTTCTGTATCCATTGCTAGAAGTATATCAAATAAGGCAATCAAGAACGATATAAATGCATCTACAAGAAAGTGAAAGAGATATTTTCATTTGAATTTCATATGTAGACGTATCTGCAATTACAACAGCAAAGAAGAAAAAATATACCTGCTCATGAATGGCATTAAGAAGTTAAAATTGTTTTGTTGCTTCGTTGTAGATTACGGCGCAAAACTGGTTTTTGGAGAAAAAGAACTGCAAATTTCATTTTCATAATCTAGGATGTGTATATTCTCAGAAGGTGGGATCGTTTTTCAGGAATCCCATATTTAATGAGATTTGATGAGGCATTAATGAGAACAGAGAAACCTACAGAAGAAAATATTTATTTTATAAACTTTGTGAAAACAGATAATACTTGTAGTATAATTAGTAATAATAATTTACTGCAAAATTCAAGTCATACGAAAAAGTTAAAATTCTCTTATTAAAAAATGCTTTATTGTATATCTGAACAGAGTATTCGTCACAGCATTTCTTTGCAGTAAGCAAGTTTATTAACTTTATTATAATACATAAAGTTATTTTCCTCTTTTAAACATAGACTTCTCATTTAGAATTCATTTAGACTCATTTAGACTTTCCCTTTCGTTTACGTAATTTTAATTTGAGATTTTATATACATATTGTTGCGTGCGTAAAGGTTTCAAATAGATTGAATGTACACAGAACCGATGATAGCCTGATAAAATTTATTTTACTAAAAGAAGCACTTTACAGTTCTAGAACTTTCCACAAAATTACTCGTACATTTCTTCTCAGTACGACAGAGCACAATCAGTAGTTACACTACGAACTACTAAGAACGTTAAACACAATGCAATTCAAAGCGCATCTAAAGAGCGAAGCTTATACGGAAATAATCTCAGTACTCTGAAGTCGACTCTGAACTAACAACTGAGAAACTGATGCTCTCTCAGTACTTAATATAGTTTTCCCGCCTAACGACGAGAAATCTCTAGTATCTTTCACTTCTCAAAGTTACTGGAAGGCATTTGAGAGCCTGTTAAGGTTACACTTACATATATAGATGAATTATATTTATTCAGTCACAATGCCAATTACTGTTATGCATGGACAGGTCTAAAATATCGCCAAATGGTCGCCAAGTATGGCGACTTTTGGCGATTTCGGCGACTTAGTAGGAAATTTTCTTATATATTTTCCGTAAACTGTGTTCTTAATGTTTTATTTACAGTGAAATTCAGTAGGATATTTTTATCACTTTATAAATTTAAATATATTTTTCTTAGTATTTCATTCTGAAAGAAGATTTTCTTAATTTATTAGTGAAACTATGATTTGCGAATCCGTAGTTCCGCCCCTGAGGGCTGTTCGTCAACCGAAATGTTCGTAAACCGAAACAATTGTCCCCATAGGAATTAATGTAAAATTTATTAATTTGTTCCGGGATCATATATCGTTGCCAGTGTAAATTTTACAACACTACTTTATAGTATACACAAGTTCATAACTTAAAACAAATGGAAATCAGTAACTATAGACTGAGTGACACAAATAAAATATTAAACAGATGAAATAGAAGAAAACTCAGCTTAATGTTATTGTACCTACACGACGAAGATTAAACAGCGTAAGAGTAAATGATTCTATTGTTTGGATGTGTAATTCCCCTTCATTAAAACATCGGACAATTCTATTTAGGAGATATCTTCTTTTACCTTTTCTTTGTCTGTAAGCGCCATTTGACTCTAAGACTCATTGCGCTCATTCAAAATTTGTCCAGTATTATTTATTGTTGCCTGCATTTAAAAATGTTTCTAAACAGAATCATGTCATTTTCATTGAAATTGATTGATTATGCTGCACATTTATCCTATAGATATCAGTAAGTAAAAAACTTTGAATCTTACCCCATTTTGCGCAAATTTCGCTGATTAGAGAGCTAAAATATATTTTTTTTTTCCTTTCCTCTGATTAGTTTTCTTCTACAGTCACCTTCTGCTGCTTCTGAAACTGCGGTTCTTTCTCATTGAGCTCATTTATATGGCCTTCTAGTATCTCCTCCATTTCTTTATTGAACATCTTAACCTATTGTTTTGCCTAAAGACTATCATAAATAAAACAAAAGTCCTAAATATGAAAGCTATCAATGTCTCCATTTGTTACACAATTTGGCGTTAATATTCTCCAGGCCAAATTTATGGTCTGAAATGTCCCCGTAAATTCATAGCTCTCTATAAATAGGCTCTGTTAATGAGAGTTATTGCAATGGGAAATATTAAAATATTACCGGAAATCCTTAAATATTAACTATGGAACAAGTTACTTCAAAAAAGGTTTTGAAAAATCATATATTGCTAAATTGAATGTTCGTAACTCTAGACAGTGTTCGTCATCCGAGGCGTTTTATGTTCAAATAATTTGTTCGTGAACTGAATTATTTGTGAAGTAACATATTCGTGATCCGAAGGTTCTCTATATTGTATCTAACACAACATTCTTAAGGCTTTTCATTATTCTCACTTTTTTCCTATTATATTTTTACTTTGAATTTAGCGTGCCTATCAGTAAAATGTTAAGAATAGAAGCAGCGTAAATTTCATGAAGAATAATTAACTATGAACTAAGTCACACTTTTAACATTTGAATGTATGAGTTTCGATTAAAATAATTTTGTAACAAAATTTACAGAAAGTAATTATATTTTAGCATTACATTTCCAGTTCCTTTTACACATATATCAAAATTCCAAAACTATCAGTTTTCATTAGCACACTTAGATTTAATTACTTAAAATCATAAATAGCACAATAAATAAGTTAAAGTAACTTAAAAAAAGGTCTGTTTGATATACATTTCGTTGCTAGGCTGTGCAGATTTACGCTTTTTTGTCAGTACCGATGTTTTTACCTTTGTTTCTCTGCGAACTTTGTTAATACTTTAGGGATTTTGAGTTTTTCTTTTTCCTTTTCAAAGAACAAGTACGTAGCTAATCAGAGATATGATGAGAATAAGGAACGTTCAAGCATACATTCCATACTTACTTTGCTCAAATACTGCTCAGTATATTTTGAATAAATAGTTAGGATATAGTTTGGAATTCAGATATTCACTAATTTAATTTAGTCTTTATCTTTATATATGTTTATAATAACTATATTAAATTAATTTTAAAATGATAACAATCCCGAAAGCGATTTTTTATATTATTTAAGCATTTTGCAAATACACTTAGATTACGTAAAACTTTAAAAAAATACATTTGCTTTTAATCTAAAAGTATTTATTATCAGTTTGCCTAATGGAAATTATTGTTCTAAAATTTTTCATAATTACTTATAACTTTCTAGAAATTTCTGAGCTTGTGAGTATAAAAAAGATGCATGCTGAGTGTAATTGTGCCGGTATCGATCTCTTTACAAAAAATCTAATCAACTACAAAATATATTTAATGTATGAAACAGAGAAGCTGTTTTTACTTTATGAATTCAAGTTAGGACACGCTGCGAAGCTAGTATAACAGTAGCATGTTTGGCTGGTTGGTTTTGCTGTAATGAAAAACAACACAGTTCGGGAAAATTTAAGCAAATCCATGACTGAGAGAAAGTTCTCTTATAAAGTGATGAAAGAATGGTATTCCCTTTTTTTTTCAGGAGTCCATATTCTCTTGGCCAAATCCAAGGCTATGAACCTTTCAAAGGTCTTAAGTCTGATTACGATAATACAATCATACATTTACCTATTAGATTACAAAACGCTGTAAATAAGGGGCCACATGGGCTTGAATGATTGTAAAAGTGTTTTTTAATGGTAGTTACAAATTGCGTTCTGGGTCCAAATATACAATGGACAGTTTAATTGGAAAAAAATACTGAATACAAAATTTTAATGTGAACATTAAACTTATTAGTCCAAAGGGGCAATTCGCCCAGAAGGACGATTAATTTCGTTTTGGCATTTTGCGTTGGTGCACTATAAATGTCAGTTCACTTTTCGAATTGTTGCCACCAAATATTAGCCCATACCATGTTTAAAATTGTTGCCACCGATATTAGTTGCACTGTATTATATTTAAAGAAATTAAATAATGAAGAATCTGCATAAATGCATGTATGTTTCTCACATTGTGATAAAATAACGATATCTGAAACCTTCAAATTTTGAATAACGTACATTTCCACCCCAATATGGGCATCTGGAAGAGCCCACAATATTTCAAGAATGGAAGAAAATACAGAAATGAGAAAAAAAATTTAAAGCAAGATACATCACTTCAAAATTTTACAAAAAAAGATGTAGATACAACAAAGCAAATAAATTAAGAAAAGATTGAAAATCTGGATCGATGCATAACAGAAGAGAAAGGAGAAAACAAACAAACAAAAAAAAATATTTAAAAAGGATTATGCAGAAGAATAGTGGGCACGTCAACAACATTTATCAGTGAAGAAAATGAAGCTTAGATCAGCGTATGTTAAAAAAAAAGAAAAACAAAAGCGGAGACAAATAAAAACAACAATATTTGGAAGATTTTCTAAATTGTGATATAGCTACGTGGCCAATACATTTCACTTTATGGACATCACACCGCTTTCAAGCTTATGTTTAGTAAATACATCTATAATAACTGTTATAGAAGGTGGAAAGAAAATTATAAGATCATTAAAAAGAGATATATTTTATTGCTTATAAACTTCAATGGTTAAAAATTAAAAGAAAATGTTAGATGCGCGATAACAAAGATAGATTAATTTATTATTATGCATACAATTTTTTGTTCATCCATTCAGATACCTTTTATTGAAAACTATGAAGACTGAAAAAAATGTTAAAGTAAGAGATGGTCAATATGAATATTCAAAAAAGCACAAAAGGACTCCATAAAAATATTCATTGTAAGGAAGTTCTACTCAGAAGAACTTTCGTAGTAAGAAGTTCTAGTCGCATTGATACAAATGTTGAAAATCTTTATTTGAAAGCGAAAAAAACTTTGGAGAAAGGTGTTTCAAAAAGTGATGTAAATGTAAAATTTTTAGGAAAACATTAACCTGCTTTTCTTGGCAACAATGAATGTGTCGGAATATTAACTAGATCTACTGTAAACTGTATTGGAGCACTGGGAGTTTCTAGTTGAATTCGATGAGTCTTTAGAACTTCATCTACAAAAATATCATTCTAAAAGGAAAAGGAAATGTAACTTATTTGCCATCGGTAATGTGTTACGAATTAATTTAAATTATTAGTGAAAAAATTAAGAAAATTTTTAAAATTCAGGTTCAGGAAGTTCTCTACTGTGATTATTGCTTCTGCACCTACAATAAAGAATGTTGACCAAAGCCCGATCACG